ACGGTTGCTGGCTGTCTATATGATGCTAATCATATGAACAACAGAAATGCTGGAATAGGTCTTATAGGGTCTGAAGTTGGCCAGCATCTAACAGTCTCAAAATTTTTGCCATTAATGGTATGGTCTCCTTTTTTAAAAGCAAGGTGGAGATGGTCTACCAGCTGAGTAAGGTACGCACAGCCAGAATTTACTCTAGCTTTAACACAGAATTGGAGACAATATGCTATTTCTTGGTTTGTACGTGGTGTGTCATTCATAGATTTCCAAGTCTGCATGTAACCTCTTTCTCTGAAATATACCTCAACTCTTCAGATATTATGCATAAAATTTCCAATTTGATCTCCATCTTTTTTTATCCTTATCCTGCTGCCTCTTTCATCCTCGGCTCCTAATATATAGGAAGAACTGTGCTGGGTGAGACCAGAGTCCTATCCAGCAAACTTTTGGTTACCTCTGATAAGCCCACAAGCAAGACGTGAAGGTAACTGCTTTTGCTTTTTGCCCTGTCTTGCAAAAAATATTCAGAAGGAAATGGCTTTTAGATCTGGACCTTCCATGTTGCCGTAATGACTAGTAGCCATTGCTGGACCTCACTGCGCCTCCTCCATGAATTCTTTATTATCACCTATGAAACAGTGGCAATCAGTTTAGATGGCTTTAAAAAAGAATTGGATTGCTTCTGAATCAGTTTTATTCACACTATGTGCTTCAGTCTGTTCACTCGGTTTTAGTAGAGGCCTGAATGATGATGAAACAGCATCAACTCCAACACTAGTCCTTTAAGGCAGAAATATTGGCAACTTTTCTTCTACAGTTACCACGTACTTTTCAGCACCTTGAGTCAGAAGCAAATGCATTTCCGCTGATGAAAGTTGTATTTACTTGGAAGTAAAGGGGGATGCTGACCTAACAAGCCATCTTTTGTTTTCCAAGCTGTAGCTTACCCTCTTCATCTCTGTTCCACCCCAGCTTAATGCCAAGTTGTGATTTGATGACAGCAGATTTATTTCAGTGTTCAGTGAAAGTGGGATCTAGTGTGGAGTCAGTATCCTTTGCAAACAGAGTGCAAGAAGCATTGCAGTTCCTCTCTGAACAATGCAGCGGTGTTCATAAAACATGCTTAACCTGATTACTGATTTTACCCATATTCTAGATTTGCATGATACATTGAGTCTTAAACTAATTAAATGAGCTAGGTTCACAAAGCACAACTGCATTTGCACAAAAATCCTGCACAAAATTAACTCTGATCAAACCTAGCATGTTGTCTGAGTGCAACTACTAGGTTTGTAATTAGTTTGATAAAGCAGGTTGTGTTCACATAGTGACTGAATGCTTAATAGGTAGCGTACAGAGAATGCAGATAGTGGCTATCAATGTTGCACTTCAGAGTTTTTTCTACCGCCCTTCCATCTTTTCTCATGCTTGATTTGTGCCTGGTTTTGTCCTAAAAAACAGCTGCAGCACCAGCCTATCCGGGCCAAGTGGCAGTGGCCTTTTGAGGCTTTTCATTGCTACAGTGCTGCTACCTAACAGATTCCATCTTGTTCCTTTCTCATAGACTTAATGCAATTTCTACTCCTTTAATCAATGGCTTCCTGTTCACTTTAATTACCAATTACTATTTTATAGCCAAGGAAGTTTTTCCTTGTTTAATCTTATTTTTTATAATCAGCTATTGCAAAAATATTATTTATTAATGGTGTTTTGCCTTTGCCTCTCATCCAAGGGAGGGGGGGTTACATTGTGGCTTATAGAGAGTCACATAAGCACTTAATTAAAACATTTGCAAGATATAGTACTAGAACAGTGTTGATATATTCCATATACATATCCTATCTTTCTATACAAATACTCAAGACAACAAAACCTCATTATATAACTATAGAAGTGTAGGTACATGAAGTTAAGTTGCCCTTCCCCAACCTCTAGGTTGGCAATGAAGAAAGCTTCTGTCCAACAGCTCTGGAGAGCACTATATTGAAGAAGGTGAAGATAACTATCAAAGCAGATTCAGCATATCTTAAAAGTAGCAATGCAGCAAGATCCTGCAACCTTTCATTGCTGAAACTGCAAAACTCAGCTTACAGAAATAAAAATAAATTTGCAGTAGCTGTGGCTTCAAAGAGGAAGCTGGTAAGTAAAACTACTGCTGGCTGCAAGGAGCAGGTTGTGCTATTCCTTTGGGGGTCAGGTTGGGTCTAGTGGCTTGGTTAACGTGCTGGATTAGGAGTGAGGAAACCTGAGACATGAAAGCCAGCTGGATGACCTTGGGTCAGTCATTCTGTCTCTGCCCTAGGAAGAAGGCAATAGCAAACCACTTCTGAAGATGCTGTCTAGATGATTGCATGGCCTTGTCCATGTAGTTGCCAGGAATCAAGCCTGACTCAAAGGTCAAAAAAAAATAAAAATGGGGTGGGAATTTATAAGTGGAGGGCACAGCTTTGCAGAAGACCCAAAGACAATTAAATTGGGGCTTGTGGTAGGCAAGATGATTTGTATTGGCACCAAAGATGTTTTTTCATTTCATAAGGACGAAAAGCTATTGATAGCATTACAGTTTTTCCTCCTGGATACTACCCTATTACAGCATAGCCAGACTTTTGTTCATGTGAACAGACTTTTTGTTCATTCATTTTACAGGGCATCTGTGTGTGATCAAAATACTATTCTGGGTGTTTCCCATGTTACTTCTATCTTTTTTTGAATTGTGGAGAAGCTATTAAGGCATTGGGACAGTGTAGGCAGATTCTTTTAGTACTACTCTTCTGTCATTGCCAAAAAGTATGCTTTCAATGGGCACCATGACATATTAAGAGAGCAAGCCCATCATATAGCACAATTTCCAGATTTTTTTCTATTCATTTCATTGACTATACCATCTCCCCACCTTTCTGATCCTTCAGATTGGTACTTTTTAGCCCTTGTGTTGTTTTCTGATAATCAGAAAAATAAGTTTTTTCATTTATTTATAGGATTTATAAACACTTCAAAGGCTCTAGCACATTGTTTAATTTTTGGAAATAATAAGTAATAAAGCACTTTGTTCGGTTTTTGTAAGTAACACAAATAATAACATTGAGAATTAATATACTTCTACAAACACTTTTAAATATATTTTTTAAAGTTAATGATATTGTGCTCAACCAGAGTTATAGCAGCACATTTAAGAGTGCTTAAAATATACTGCCTTATTGCTCTTTAGATTGGCATCTTAATAGCTATAGGTTATTTTTTCATTCATATTTTATAAAAAATCTTTATTGCGTGTATATGCAATAAATTATACCGTAACACAAATTGTTAAAAATAGATGATTAAATATAGTATGTGAATTGAGCCTTCACAACCTACACTGTTTTGTAACTGCCCCAAGTATGCATAGGACATATTGGGAGTGTGTGTATACTGATTAAAGTGTGGAAAATTAATTGCAATTTCACATGTAGCTTACAGTGAATTGTACTGCCAGTTTGGAAGCATCCAAGAAAAATTTGCCAAAGCAGTCTGGGCATCATTGGATGGGGAAAGGTGTATGTGTAAGGTGATACAAAGAATGAGGGTATAGCTGTGTAACTGAATATGGATGAAGTTTGCTAAAGAAAGAAAGAGGAAAAAGTTGATCTGGAAGATGCTAACAACAGTAGTAATATGGTATTCATCAGTTGATCTCCAGCCTTCTCTAATCACCTCTGAAAGGCCTAATACTGTGACATGGAAGAGAGCACAAAGTAAAAATGTTTGCTGCACCACTGGGTCTCATGAACTTACCCTGTTGAACCCACGGCTTTTCCCTGGATAACTGAAGCCTAGACAACCCCAGTCAACTGACAGTCCTTGGGATTTTACTTTGGCCATTGTCCATAGGCTTTCCTGATGCCCAGTTTTGTCTTGTTTGCCATTTTGTTGCCCACCCTGGAGCAGTTGTTTAAGAATTTCACACAGTGTGTTGTAGACTGACTTACTAATATAGGTAGTCCTCAGTTTAAGAACGAGTTCAGTTCCCAAGGTCTGTCCTTAAGTTGAATTTGTACGTAAGCAGGAACAGTATTATTGTATAATACTGTATAAGTAGTATTGTGTAATTAACTTAAACCATTGTGTATTTAACTCAAATCATTGTGTATTTAACTCAAATCATTGTGTATTTAACTCAAATCATTGTGTATTTAACTCAAATCATTGTGTATTTAACTCAAATCATTGTGTATTTAACTCAAATCATTGTGTATTTAACTCAAATCATTGTGTATTTAACTCAAATCATTGTGTATTTAACTCAAATCATTGTGTATTTAACTCAAATCATTGTGTATTTAACTCAAATCATTGTGTATTTAACTCAAATCATTGTGTATTTAACTCGAATTTTGGTACAATAGGCTCCATTCTTAACTATGGGTCATCTATAACCCAGGCATTCTTAACCTGGAAACTACCTATATCATTTCATAGGAGAGGTGAGGCCATAGAAGCCATGGGGGACTGATGTCAAGAACAGAGAATCTAGAGCCACCAAAGGTAGTGTTGCTAAAGAAATCAAGAATGGTATTAAAGGATAAAAAGACTTAGCATGGGAACTTTATTGTTGATCCAGTGAAGAGAGAGGGTATTTTATTACTTTGTTAAGGTTTTATACATGGGGACTCCCCTAATTTACCCCCACAATAACCCTGTGAGGTAGGTTGGGTTGAAAGAGAGAGCTCAGCCAGTGTCTGTGATGCTTCTTTACACAGCACAGAGTTAAACAGTGAGAGTCACTTCCACAAAACATCATGATGACACCAATTTGTGTGGCTTTAAAAAGAGTTCAAACTCAGCACTTCTTGTGTTCTAAATAGAGCAGGCCCCTAGTGGGGCTGATGGAAAGGAACAAAGTGCCCAGCAGACTAGGCTCCTTTAAAATGAAGGCTTTTCTCCCAGATTTGCACAGGGGATGTTGAGGTGCCTCATGGCTCAAGAGCTAAGAAGAACATTGTCTCTCTTTTTTTTCCTGAAAGCAGGGAGAAGAAGAACCTGAGGAAAATCGGAACAAGGAGGAGAAGCCAGATCCAGGGATCCCCGTGAGGAAAGTGGGGCGGCCTGGCAGAAAGCGGAAACAGCCAGTGGTGAGTGGAAGCCACTGCATCCCCAGAGTTGCAGGATCAGTCATCCAGGGTATGGGTGGGAAGATACTCTGGCTGAGGCTTTTACATAGGAGCACCAGATCAAGGAGAGTTGGGTTAGATTCTCAGTGCTTTCTGTCTAATGCTGGAGTTCCCGAGGTCAGCAACTTCTAAGAATAGCTCTGTGGCCTTTGTTAGAGGAGAAGGACTGGAAGAAGGAAGCAACAGGTTGGGAAGTTCTGAATGTTTCTGCATACACAAAAGCCACAAATCCACATGCACTCACACAAATACATGCTGTCTCTGACAACGCCCTCTCCCATTGTAATGCATGCAGTTTCAGACTGCATATACCTCTTGGCTGGATATGTGTGTGGACACGCCCATGACATCTGGCAAAGTACTGCTCTTACTAGAAACAAAACTCCTCCAGGAGAATTGCAAATAACTATTTTAAATATTTCAGCTATTTCTAGTAACAGGGTTCATGTTCTTGGCTTATAAACTGATACATCACTGACAATGGCTGCGTTTGAGCAATTTGCTGACCTAACCCATTTTCTGGGTTTGTGCAGTATGTGAAATCACAAACATGAATTGGACATGCACAACAGAGAAACCAGAACAAAACCAAGGTTAAAACTAACCAAGCTTAGTAGCCACTATATAGGATGTGAAGTCTCTGTTGGTTTGAAATAAGAATGGGTGTATGCATATCTGTGTGCATACATACTTCTCAAACTGCTGTCCAGTGGTTGGTTCCCTGCATAAGTTGGAGATTAGGGGAGTAGAATTTCAACATATCTGAGTGTCAGGTTGGGTAAAGTGATTAAATCTGCCCAGATGTTGAAACTTTAGATGTCCCTTCAAGATTAGAGCTGTTATTTCTGTGGAAAAATGGGATAGCACCTTCTCTACTGATAAGCTGTGTTTACCCCAACATGCTTAACTAGGATAGTTAGACTAAGAACTGCATGGGGGTTGGACTAGAGGATTTATAAGGGTATTTCCAACCCAATGATTCTATAATTTGTACAACATGCCACGTTTGTTTAGCTTAACCTTGTTTAGTTTGTATATATATGCATGTGTATAGGAGAGTACTTTAGCGTACTGTCTGAACCCTTCTCATGTGTTTGATCAATGTGTTGTGCAAGGCCAGAAAATGGGTTAATATTGTAACCAGCCTAAGCATGTTGTGTGAACACACCAACTAAGTTTCCCCACTCTCCAGAGTGTTCACCTCACATGAACCTAATTTAGCTGTCGGTGCCCAGTCAAACCAATTTTATTCCTTCATACATTACATTTTAATGTGATTGATTTTTGCTGCTGCTTGTAAGGTTTATATTGGATCTTCTGCTGGTTTTATGCCCTCTTCTGCTATTTATAACTTTATTATGTATATTGATTTATTGAACTCAGGAGGCATAAAAGTAGCCCTTGATGAGGCATACTTCCACCTTCTCATGTGTCTCTTGTGACCTGATCCGTGGAGTGATTGATTATTGCCTCCTCAACTGATCAGAGCTTTCTGACTCAGACCATAAGCAGTAACAGATAGAAAAAGGTTTTGGTGGACTGTATCTTTCAGGATCAAGCGCTGAAGGAATTGCAAGCAGAACACTCTTGACTGCATTCCCACTTAATGCAGTTGCTGAATTAATCCATTTTCTGGGTTCTTACAATACACTAGACTGTAAACTAATCAAATAGGCTAGGTTTATCACCATGCTAAGCCACAATTCCTCCAGTGAAAACTAGTTAAGCTTTTCATGTGTGCAAATGCAGCTCTTTAGATCTTTAACTGACCCTGAAGAGTATAGTGCTATCACTGGAGGGGGGATATTTGTGCTGCAGGAGTCCTGCCCTCCCCCAACTTCCTGCTATTGCATCTCCAAATATTCCTTCCTTTCTCATCCTCTCATGAACCTAGACTGAAGAAGAATCAAGTGATCCTGGTCTCTCAAGCAAGCAAACTAAACTTCATGCTGGTAACGAACATGGTGGTATACTACAGGAGAAAGCAAAAAGGGCAGGCAGGCAGTCTGGCTGGTGTTTTCTTTTGTCTCATGTGGGAGAGAATTCTATCCTGACCTCAGAACCTGAGTTGGCAAAATCTCATCATTGAGGTTTCTAGTGTTTTTATGCTCTGCATGGGATTTCCTTCCCACCTCTGGTTCGAGAGCTACTGATCCAGCTGGGAGCTGTGCAGGTTTGTTTCCCAGTAGGCTGCTTTGCCAATTGGGCCGTGGGAATGGCTCGCCCTCTTAACTGTGGGCTCTCTACAGACTCCTTCACTTTGCTTTAGTTTTCTGCCTTGTGCAGCTGCAACCTGATCTCTGGCACTGCTGCCAGGGCCAGGGAAGGAAGCTGGCCACCAGCCACACGCTGGGCCACTCAGAGAAGAGCTGCTGCTGCTGCTATGTTGCTGGCAGCTTCCCAAAATAGGATCAGCCTGGGTGGGGAGATGGCTGTGGCCATGGCAGGGAGGAAAGCAAGGTTGCTGCAAGGCTTGGAAAGGACGAGGAGGAGAGCTGGATGACAGCCAGACTGCTGTCTCTTTGCTGCCGGAGGCATAGAGTGGAATGGTTGCAGCTGCTTGGTTGGACCCCAAACTGTATTTAAAGGGCCAGCATGAAAATGTTTTGAGAGGCCAAGTGTGGGGCAGGTGAAATATCTAGGGTTGGCCTGCCCTATTCTGCAGAACCATCAGATACAAAGGGCTGGTGAAGGGAAGTGTTGTGACTGACACAGAACCTGATGCTTCTGATGCAGAGTCCAGCATTCTGATGTTCCACATTTTCACTTTTCAAAAATCTGGCTCCTAGCATTCCCACAGAGCCAGTCTGATGTAGTGGTTAAGGCATCAGACTAGAAACCGGGAGACTGTGAGTTCTAGTTCCACCTTAGGCATGAAGCCAACTGGGTGTCTTTGGGCCAGTCACTCCCTCTCAGCCCTAGGAAGGAGGCAATGGCAAACCACTTCTGAAAAATCTTGCCAAGGAAACTGCAGGGACTTGTCCAGGCAATCGCCAGAGTCAAAACTGACTCAAAGGGACCCCCCCCCCCAAGAGATTCCACAGTATGGCAGCAATATCTGTGCTCATCAGCATGGGGAGGTACCTATTGTTTGGGAATGTTGTTAATAAAATAAGAAAATAATCCAATGAAAAGTTAAAATCACATGTGTTGCTAGAAACTAACACTATATGAGAGTGGGAATTCATTGACCAGATACAATTATTTAAGTGTTGGGATGGGTGGGGAAATTACAGCTGCAGGAATTTAGAAGGATGGGTGGAGGATATTTACCCTGCCTCTCCTCTCATTGCCTCCAACAGAGGAACCTGGAAGTGCAGTACCACGATTTGCAGATGTTTTCCTGCCGGCCAGTGCTGTGCTGAAGAGGGAGGGCAGCAAAGCCAAAGAAATCAGCTAGTCACTTTCTTTATTGTGCAATTCACATGTGTAATAAAAGCAGCTCTGCTTGGAATAGATGCAATAGGTGGGATAGGGACCATAATGGCAGCAAATTTCCTACCAGTATAGTTTTCTGCTGACTCAAGGATGAGTGGAGAGCACTTTTAATTTAACAGTGGGGAAAGGTTCTAACCTTGGCTCGGCTTTCTCTGTCCAGCAGAGACAGGGACATCAGCTGTCTCTGTAGGCTGGCAGGCAAACAGTACTTGAAAAATTGGCAGTAGAGCTAATTCTAGTAGCTGCTGAAGATCTTTTGAGCTTGAGGATAAGCCACTTTTCTTTAGCTTCAACTTGAACACTGGAAATGGCCCTTTCATTGCCTTTTCTTGCTGCTCGTATGTTGGCTAACTTTCTGCTGTACTGCTTCAAACCTTCAACAACTTCTTGGCCTGCTAAGCCTCAGTCACTTGGTCTTATGTATACTACCCAAACAAAAAGTAGAGATGGCAGCAACCAAAGTAACACAGAGAATGCCTAGGCTACAGCTTGTAAAAATTCATGTGGCCTATCCACCTCTACCACCCTAGACGGAGCTTGACTGTTGTAAAACCAGACACCCTCTGATGTCTCTGTGGTACTGAGGTTATTTGGAAAAAAGTGGTTGGGCACTTTGCCCTGTCTGGGCCTGCACAATTTATGACCTACCAGTTGATATTGCATTTACCTGGCCTTGAACTGCCCATTTTACAGCTGTGCAAGAATGTAGGCTGAGAAATTTCTGTGGATACTTCCTTGAGATCATTTTTAGTAAGTTTTCGGTATTGTGCCCTTCTACTTGCAGATGGAGGTGCCATTGACCCACTTTACAGTTGTAAAGATTGTAAAAAGATTTTGCAACAGTTGAAGTCTGTCTCTTTCCTAAGACAGAATGGTTGGGTGCTTTGCCCCTTTTGGGCCCGCACAATTTATGACATACCAGACCAAATAGACTCCAAGAGGTGGTATCTTGGTGGTATCTTTTGTGGTATCTTGGGATTCCTCTGCTACCATGATACCCATCACTTTTGAAGTTGCAGGCCAGTGACCAAAAAAATAAGAGGTTATTGTACCTCAAAGGGGCCACTTGTGCTTAGCCAAGGAACTGTGTTCACCTTGCTCTATCACATGCTATGCAGACCCAGCCTTCTCCATTCAAAAAGAATTTTATTAAAGACAGGAAAATTTCATCTAATTGTAACATTTCAGAACAAGCAGATCAGTCATGCAAGGAGAGCAGGATGATCCAGGATCAAGTCTAAATTCTCATAAATGATAGCCACGTGTAGTCCACTGACTTCACAAGCATGGACTGATGTGTTTTTTCCACTCTGCTCATTTGCAGACAAGAAGTGTTATATCAGGTTTTTAAAGTTTTATCTATTGGCTCATAGGAAGCTCATAGATTTAGAGCTGAATTTCAGCCTGCCTGCATTTATTGAGTCACCATGAATCAGCCTGTGCTTTCTGAAATTTATTTTAGTCCCCTCTCTGTTCACCACCTACAGAATTGTATACATGGGAATGATTCTCTCCCTTCTCAG